GTCAGGCAAAGGGCAAATATTAAATCTGCATGTGTTTCATATGCAAGTGATCAAGGGTCTTTTGTTCATTCTGAAAGATGGGAAAAATTAGATTTTACGTGGGTTTACATCCCCCCCCCCCCCCCCACACACATTTTCTCTTTTATTATTATTATTGGTCATTCTGCCAGTTCTAGTACATTTCTTCTTTTTCTGAAAGCCAGAAGAGTATAAAATACAATGTCTGCAAAAGACTCCAAGTCTAGTGTGAAGCTTGCTCAATTTGTTTGACATTTTTTCATTAATTACAGGATAAATTGGACCAGGACTTAAGCAGCTACCTAAGTAGCTTAATAATGCATGGGACAAGGGATCAGAGTGAAAATGGTCGTAGAAACGATATCTCCTAATTTCCTAAACTATTGAATGTGTCAGTTTTCCAACAGGGTCTGCATAATAATCTCTTCGATGTGGGGTAGGGTCTGGATGACAAGAAATAGCTCAAATCAAAATGGACTGCGTGGTTTGTTGAAGTGCAATATGAAAGTTCCCATTTTATGAGGTGAAGGTACCAGTGAAGCTGAACACTGAACGGGAGGCTCAGAACAGGGAATGGCATTAACAGTGCCTAATAGTAGTAGTGATAGCGGTGGTAGTAGTAATTATTATGCTTTCAAGTGTTCAAAGTAAGTAAGGATGGAAGAACCAGGGATGTTCAAACTCAATGAAATTCTTGCTTCCATTTTCATGTGCAACCAGTTTTTCGAACAGGAAAATTCTGCATTTTGAATGGGAAAACTGTGCCCTTTCCTCCCATTGACTAAGCATGAAAATGCATTACTTTAAAAAGTGTACATTTAAAACACATTTTCATGTGAAGAATGTAAATGGCTTTTGGGGAAACAATGTATTTCTCTTTGCTAATGAGACAAGTGCAGATGTTTTGCAAATTGAACTGAAATTCTCGTATTTACCTGGTTCAAAATTCTTCACGTGTACTATCTAGTCATAATTATTACGACACTGTAAATTAAATCTGTATTATAATCTGTGTATTGCTGAAGGGGAGGGAAACTGGAGCAGAAGAAGATTGGCTTGCCTAAACCCACCAACACAATTAATGCTAGAGACAGGATTCAAACCAGAAACTTCTGGATTCATAGTTAAGTTCCTTAGCCTCTGTGTTCTTGCTGTCAGCTTTTTCAAACCCTATTCTCTCTCTCTCTCTCTCTCTCTCTCTCTCTCTCTCTCTCTCTCTCTCTGTGCATGTGTGTGTGTGTGTGTGTGTGTGTGTGTGAGAGAGAGAGAGAGAGAGAGAGAGAGAGAGAGAATGAATTTCTTGGGTCTGCTCTAAATAGAGTTATAGTGTATTGCAATCAGTGGGGCTTAAAGTATTCACAATTTCACTCAAAGCAGACTAAATCTGGATCCCCTGCCATTTATTATATGATGCTAATCCTTATAAATCTAGAATTCAACAACAACAAACAAAATGTTTTGTGTGGGTGTGTTAATCCTTTCCTAACTTGCTGGGAAGAAGAAATCGGAACACAGTGCCTTATTTTGATAGATAAAGCGCAGTAATGACAGTACTGTTGTTTGTTCTCTTTTTAGTTACCTAGTTTTAATGTGAGAGTAACTAAAAATATCCCACACTGGGAGGGAACCAGGAAACTCCAAGTAGATTTCTGCTCCTGCAATTTCTCATGTTCTTTCTGGACTCCTGAAAAACCATTCCTGTGAATCAGGGGAACTTTCTGGGATGGCATTCGTGGGGGCACATGGAAACACGGAGCTGCAGACCTGGAAGAGGATTGATGGAAGAGGCCTCCCCTTGCATGATGTATTTATTTATTCAAAAATTTATATTCCTCTGAAATTTATCATTATCATTTATTTATCATCAAAGAGGGGTCCAGGTTGCAGGACTTTTGCATAAGACCAATTTAGAAATAATAACTAAAATTTAATGCATTTCTTCATAGAGTGAAAGTCTGACAAAGTGTGACCTCTCTTTTGCTCAGTCTACTGTCCAGGTGTTAATTCCTGAGCAACTTAAAAGTTCTCCCTTCCTATCCCTGGTTCCTCACCTTTGAACCACCACCTTCTCCTCTTCCGTTGTTTGCCCTTCCCTCTCTTCCTGCAGGGCCTCCCATTGAAGGCAGGTGGTGATCATTCCCTTCTCCCAAACCCCACTAAATGTTCGACATGGGCATAAGTTGCCCCTCCAGATGTTTTGGCCCACAGCTTCTCTTGTTCTTCACCACTGGCTATGCTAGCCAGGGTTTCTGGGGAGCTGGAGTGACAACTTGCTCATGCCTGGAGTAGAAAATTGGGATGGTTTTCTCAAATTCAGTTGTAGTCTGTTTCTGACGAGATTACAGCAATTGGACTGTCAAGCGTAAGGCAGTTGTAATTTTGGAAACAGAAGTGCATCTTTTGTTCTTTATGCAATAAGTGCATTGAAAAATGATTGCAGATGGGAGAGATGAAAGGCAGAAAGTGTCTATTATATTTCTTTTAAAAATGCTATCAAAATGCAAAAAAACTGAAGAAGATTTTAGGTAACAGTCCCACCTTGATGCAGGGAAAGTCCAGAAGAGCGACAGATCTCATTTCCTGCAACAGGAAGCAGTTATAAAAAGAGCACATTGAAAAATTCATTCAATTTCTGTATGAAATCGAATGGTTGTATAGGGATCTATTTTAAGTTGTCTCTTTGTACACTTTAGATATGGACCATTCAGCAGTAAAACAGGTAAATTAGGTTTAAGTAATGCCTTCATTGTTCATGTTTGATGACCACAGTTCAATTCTGCTCACATTGTGGGGGCACCGCTCAAAAGTAAAGGTTGCCAAATATTTGGGAATAGTTTAACACTGTCCAGACTGTGTGAAATTCTAAGCACACCTTATTATCTATTTATCCATCCATCCTATTTATATTCCACCCTTCCTAAGTGAAGGGTGGTGTACATGTTATGGTTTCTAGTCCTATCCTCAGAACAACCCTGTGAAGTACAGTTGGCTGTAAAAAAATGACTAGACCAAGGACATTCCATTCACTTCAGTGCTGACTGGGGATCTGAAGCTTTCCTAGTTAGACTACATTAAGCTGGCTTGTGAGAAGCACACATAAGAAAAGCCATGTTGGATCAGACCAAAGGTCCATCTAGTTGAGTGCTCCTTTCACAAACCAGCTGCCCACAGGATCCCTCGAGCAAGGTGAGTGAAAGACCCCTGCCTGTCCAAGTTCCTCGGTAACTGGTGTATGCAAATATGCCACCTCTGATAAAGAGGGCACTGAATAGCCAGCAAGGCTAGTAGCCACTGATGGCTTCCTCCTCCGTGAATATGTCCAATCCCCTTTTAAAACCACCCAAATTGGTGGTCATCACCACTTCCCATGGCAGCAAATTAACTATACATTGTGTGAAGAAGTACTTCCTTTTATCTGCCTTAAATCTCCCACCACTCAGCTTCATAATGTAGACTGATCATTGTCCCCAGCGAACAATGAAATGATACCAGTGCTGCAATTCTATGCTCAGGGAATTTGTACAATTGAATTCAGTAGGACTTACTTCTGAGTTGTATCACACCAATAGGATTACATTGTAAGAGCTACCAGAAGGTACCTGTGCTAGTCACTCGTAGCAAAACCATTTATATGAGGGAGTGGGGGAGTGAGTTCCCACCAAAAATGTTACTAGCTGAGAGAATCTTCCCGAATACAGGCACTGTGCAGGCGTAGGAACCTTATGTGTGATGCACAGAGACCACGAAGAACAGAAGGTACCTGAGTTAGTCACTTGTAGCAAAACCAAAGAGAATATTGTGAGTCTCACTTTCTGCATTTAATTGCATGAGGACCTTGCCACGTATAATTCTCTCTCACCTCCTCCATATCTACACATGCCTAATGTACTGTACAAAACCCTGAAGCTGCTCATGTTATCTGATGTATCTGATGAAAGCTTATGCCAGAAGAAAGGTGGTGAATCTTTAAGGTGCCACAAGACAGCAAGAGCTGGATCTGATCCTCTGTTTCACTGAAATGGCTTCTAGTTCCGTTGGCTCCTCACTGCAATGGCCAAAGCAAGGGGTGGGATCATGTGGCCCCTGCATTTGTGTTTGCTGGCACCATGGCATGTGGATCTGACAAAGTGAAGTATATGAATGAAACTTCTCAGGCATACATGAGAATTCAGCAGAAGGCTTTCCTCTGTGTTTCAAAGAAACTTTCAAGATCTAAGGCTTAGAACTGTAGACATTTTTTAGTCATCATTTTTCAATAAAGGCAGTGAAATTAGGATGTCAATAAAACCCCAATCCTGCTTTTGATTAAGTGTAACTTTTTCTTTATTAATCCACTGGAATTTGAACTGTTCAACCATGTAGCTGATTCAGAACTAAGTCACCAAGACTGTACCTTTCCAACATAAATATCATTTAGATACTGCTTTCATGTGGGTGGATGCTATTTTGAATAGAGTTATTTGTTGAACATAATTATTCTAATATGAAATTCATTCCATTTTCATTGAAGTGCCTAGCTCTATGGCATTATTCAATTTGATTTTAGAAACAGAAAAATACCACAGCAGATGCAGTTGCAAGGAGGATCTTTCCTATTTCTGTGCCGACCTCCAGTGAAATCTCACAGCGTTTCCCCGTTTCCTTCTGCAGATGTGCCATACAAAGGGTTGGCAAAGGAAGGCATTGTCATATCAGGACGACACGGAAGCTGGTGGCAGGGAAATGGAAATCAGGTGTTATGCCAGAACAAAATGCCAACTTGCAAAGCGATGTATAAATAAGAATATTCATTTGGGGGACACGTTTCAGGAGTTCTTCCTGTAAGTCATATTTGAATCAGGTCTGGACCAAGGCATTTTGCTGCCTGAGGTGGAAGAAGTGCAGAGCCCCCTCCCACCATTTCCTGTCAAAATCCAGCCAGACTGGCAGCTGAACCTACTTGAGTGCCACTGATGGAACAACCTCCTTCCTGCTCTGGTAGGTTAGCTTGGAGGGTGTGGAAAACCGGAGATGTGATGCAGCCAGCTCTGCCCGCTGCCTGCTGCACCTGATACCTTGGGCAGGTGTTTCTTTGGCCCTACACCTTCACAGCCCAAAAATATATCTGCAGAAGTCAGTTTCACCTGTAAAAGTCCACCATATTTATAACACTTCTCGGATTTTCAGGTAATATAAACAAATGGGAGGCCATTGTTTCTTTATGGCAACAATGGAGATAATTTAGGCTGAGAGACAGTAGGAATAATAATATTAAGTAGTACCCTCACCATTTTACAACTCCAAAGAAACCTCTAGTCGTTGCCGCTTATTGTATCATCATGTACCTCCTGTGCTGCTTCAGAGGCACAGCCAAGCCCTAACCAAGGGGTGCATATTTGGGGCTCCAAGGTCCCCACTGGAGAGACAGCAATCAGTATGTAATAAGTCACCCACAAGAGCTAACCCTTTCATTTTAGGGAAGCTTCTGTGTATGCACCGGGAGGCAATTCCAACAGGGAAATGAATAGGAACTGGCTTGCTTAGAAACATGAAGGCTGGACAGTCTGTGATCTGCATGTAGCATAGTTATATTTCCATATTTCATTATTAATAATAATATTAATACATTGCATTCATGCCCTACCTTTCCTCCTATTATAAAGCAGCATAGGAGGTTCTGTTCCTCTCCATTTTATCTTCACAACAACCCTGTGAATTAGGTCAAGCTGAGAGTCTCTGACTGGCCCAAAGTCACCCAGTGAGCTCCATGGCTGAGTCCCAGTCCAACATTATAACCACTATGGCACACTGGCTCCCTTATATACAATTTAAAAAATTAACATATTTGGTAACATGGGACATAGTTCTGCATCATAATAACTAAATCCTTAGTAAGATCCCTCGGTATGGAAGAAAAACTTACACTATGCACAGGAACATCAACCTCCAGGCAATGAATTCTCTGCGTTTAGTCATTCCAGGCAGTTTCTAAAGCAACTGCCTGGATGATAAGGACTGCTTTGCCTGCTGTACGCCTCTGAGAAGTCTAATGGACTGAACATCCCATGGACTTGGGCTGTCACAATACTTGTGGATAAATGAAAGGATTATGAATAAGGATTTAAATAATAATCATGATTTTTGGAAGGTGCTGGGATTTGTGCATTTTCCAAATGCTTTTTATACTAAGAAACAAAGAAGCAAACACACACCATGATCTTATCCTCCTTTTAAAATGCAATAGGATTAGATCCAGACTAAGTGGGTGTCATTGTCTCATTAAATTAACTGTAAAAGGCTTTAGTGGGAATGCAGTGTAACTAACAATCTGACTCCAACTGATGATCTTTAAACCATTTGCTGCAATGTCCACCAGTATCAAGATTTCAGCTGAAAACTGAACAACAAAACAGATCCTAGTCCTGTGCCTGGTAACTGAGAGTATGTACAAGTTATTGTTACATTGCATTTACCTCCAGCCATTTTCGTCTCGTGAAGAACGCAAAATGGCTTACAAGGTTCCCCTTCTCTCTGTTTTCATCCTCCCAACAATAACACTCCTGGGAGGAGGGTTAGCCTGAGAGTGAGTGCCTGGACCAACATCAGCCACTGAGCTCCATGGCTGACTAGGGACTGGAACCTGGTCCCTAAGGTCCCCCAGTCCAACACTCTAATGGCCATACTACACTGGCTCTTGTTTTGAAAACCGGTAAATGGATCCAAGGAGCCATGTGAGTCCCAAGTCTCTTCTACTCCTATTTCAACCCAAGTAAATGGCTCAAGAAAAGGGATACTCCTCTGGCATCAAACATTACCCAATGCCATACCAAAGATTACTGCTCTCTAGTACAAATGGGCTGTTTGTCACTCAGTTGCTAGGATTGTAAACTTAATCATAAATGCTTAATCTTTCCTCGCAGAGCAGCAAGTGAAACTGGGCCACTAGGTCCTGTAGCAAAGGCAAGGAAAACTTTGTATGCGAACCTCAAGAAAGGTTCAGTAAACAAACGATGTCTCCATTCACCAGTGGAGGAATGGAATCGTTTTCATCCTCTACTGCAGGGCACATGATTTTTCCAGAAAGCATTTTCAAAAGAGAACTATTCACACATACCTCCCGCTGTGCCTGCCATGGAGAAACACTGATCGGAACACCCAGGGGGGCAACGTACTCTGGAGACTACAAAAGAGACAAACATTAGCTGCAGGCCAGCGTTATTCAGCAGTGAACAAAACAACAGTATTGCCAGCTCTATCAATCCAAAAGCCTACAGGTTAAAAGAGAATGAAAGAAAGAAGGGGAAAGAAAAAGAAAATACTAATCTTGTAAACTGCCCAGGGAATCTGGTGGTTTTATCAGGACAGTGCCAGTAAAGCATCGTGGGCAATTGTAGGGACCAGGTCAACTTTGTGAATGCATATGCCACTAAGCTGGTGGCATTACCTTAAGCACTCAGACTTAATTTACTTTCCTTGTTGGAATTGTTTGTAATTGTGCCTTTAGGATTTCCTTTTTTAAAAATTCCCACCCATCCTGAACCCCTTTTCTCATTAGAATCACTTGCCAAGGGAGTTTGCTTTATCATTGTTCTGAGTTTATTAAAATTGACTATCCTAAGATCTAGCTTGGCTATGCATGGCTTTTGTTTCCTTTGGGATCAAGAATGCAAGTATGGTATGGTCACTTTCCCCCAGAGTTCCCATAACTGCCACTTTGTCCACTAGGTCTTCCGTGTTGCTTAGGATCACGTCAAGGATAACTGTTCCTCTAGTTCCTTCCTCCACTTTCTGTAGGAGGAAGTTATCAGCAACTGTTGGGAAATTTGGATAAATCCTGTCTGAAAAGCATTACTTCTGTGTGCTTTTGCAATTGTGGGATCAAATCCTGTCTTCCTTCTCAAAACCAAGCTGTCACTGTTTAAAATGGCATTCCCCACTTCTTTCTCTCACCTTTAGCTGTAAGCTACAGTACACAGGCCATTAAGTCCAAATTTACATTGTATACCTTCACAATGATTAAATAATCATTGTTGGAATTCAGTTTTACAAGGAAGTATCTTCCTAGCCCAGGGCTTCATGTGCCCTGGTCACTCAGAATGTTTAGTCTAGATAAGGGTCTGAGCTTATCATGAATAGTTTCTCAGTAGCTTGAATTTACATGTCT